GAAATTCCCGATGGAACTTTCGATCCGATCTTCCCTCGCAATTTCGCGAATCTCGAAGAAATAGAACCAACTGTTTCTTCATCAGAACTCGGGACTCTCTTTTATGCGAGATGCGTTCCTTGTATTTTTAACGAGAATTTTTTACGCAGCCCTCAGACATCACTCGATCGAATCTGTGTGGCGCACGTTATCGTCGCGCGGCGTCGTGAGAAAATTTATTATTTTAATTAGCGGCCGCAAACACAACAGAGATATCGCCGAGAGAGGCCGGGCGGCGCGGATTCCTCGAGAAATTTAATCGGCCGTGTGTACAGCACAACGCGCCGCGATTGTACTCTCGGTAACCCGTTAATGTTACCTCCGGTACATGACGTTCCGTAATTAGGTCATCGCTTACATCGTTGTGTGCGAGCGTTTTAGGTGCCGCGAACGATAAGAGCGGAGCTCATTACGCGACGACCTGGCAGGCATTTTCGAGAGAGAATACAGTAGTTTCTCCCCTGCCTCTCTCTCTCTCTCTCTCTCTCTCTCTCTCTCTTTCGTCTCAGTGTGTATTACTTACAATTAATTGAGAGCGCGTCCGCGAGAGATACATTGTTGGCGATACACTCACAGAAGAAAGTAGAAGTTCGTGTAATAACCGAATAGAGACCAAATAAAAACTCATTTATGAGTTTCATAAATGATTCAGAAACGATGTATCTGTTGCCGTGGAAACCATTGCTAGTGCGATCAGTGGAAGACTGAATGTTTTATATGGATTCGAAGTTTCGAGTGGATTCTCTGACGTCTTACTCTGACTTCTTAAAGGATAACAACCTTTGACTTTGAGAGACTGACAGCTGTACTATGATACATTAACATTTCTCTCTGTAGTCGCCGTGCGTTCAGGATCGCGCTAGAGATGTCGCTTCCGAACGGCATCTCTGAGCGTTATCTAGGGAAAGGAGAGTATCGTGAGCGTGGAGCGTCAGGTAGCTCAGTGGTTTAGAGCAGTTGCCCGGCAAGCGAAAGACCCTGGTTCGAGTCCCGGCCTAGCAAAACCGCGCTCTCGATATTTTTCTCTCTCTGGAACGAAAAAGATACGCAAATGCTCGAACGCACGGCGTCCCGCCGCCACCTAGTATCATGCCCTCCTCCTTCACTTACATGAGTGAATGTTACTATCAATTAAAATGAATTTGTTGACAATGGAACAGATCAAATTCATTTCTTGAATTAAAATATTCACTGGAGGATTCACTCTCTGTATGAGTGAAGAATCTTCCAAGTTCAAGTAACTATGTTGCAATTCTAAGTAAATATACGGGTAAATCGTAAAATCGTAAAGTCATAGCTTACGAAAAAAACAAAACAAAAAATCGTAGATATTTACGAGTTATCTTTGACTTACGGTCCGCATAGAATTGCCGACCTACTCATAAGTTTTTTTACGAGTCTTACGAAAACAAGTTACGAGCTTTACGATTTTGTCTAGAATTGCAGTATTAGCAGTTACTGTATCTTTTCGAGTGAAAAATTTCGCTCCAAAAAGTTTATAGAGTAAAACTCAATTGAGATTATTGAAAACACTTGAGTTAATAGAAATCCCTACAGGAATCTTGCAGTTCCTGCAACCGACACATTTCATCTGGTCTCCAGACGACAAAGAAGCGATTATATGAACAGAGTATTTCTTTTCGTGTTTACTTATATTCGCACTTAGAAGCCACTGAGAAAAAAAAGTTTAATCTAACAAAAATTACCTTACAATTTTAAAGAATTACAATTATCTTTAGCTAACTATATTCTTTCAAGTAAAATAGTAGCATGCACATAAAGTTATTATCACCAACATTATAGCAGAACTTAAATAAAAGATTTTCATTACATTTTTTTCGACTTTTTCAATTTTCTCGGCCATAATTATTTCTCTCTATATGATTATACACAGTGATTTTAATTTCACAATCTCTCGTAAGGGCGGATTGAGGTGAACACGAAAGTCTTATACCATTTTTTGCGATATTCATAATAACCATCAAGATATTAAATAAAGAAGATTTGTAAACGATATGATATGATAGACGAGCAGAGACATCTGCTGTCGCGTGCTTGTACATTAGATCAAACAAAAAAGTACCATTTTAAAAATAATTATGTAGATTTTTAGTTATTAATTAAAGAAGATTACACAAGATTAAAGAAGAAGTACACATTACCGTGCAAAATCATGTGCAACAATTTTCTTTAATTAATAATTCAAAATCTGACGTCACAGCTCATCTACCATATCATGCGTGATCACTCATAAATCTTCTACAATTAATGTCTCGATCATTGTTACGACTTGCACAAAACTGTATTAAACTTTGTTATTTATCTCAATCCGTTCTACGTCTTGATTGTCGAGCTGGGACACCCTGTATACACAATTACAGATACCAAACATCTTTTTTCTCAGTACACGTATATTTATTTCGTTTGACGAAGCACGCGGATCGAAGCTCACAGAGGAGCCAATCGCAAAACCGGAAAGAAGCCAATTTCACGAGATCTAAAGGAAATTCGCACGAAGACGCCGTCCAAGTGAGCGCACTCGGAATAAAACGGCAACGGCGGCGGAAGTTATCGAAGTTGCTGAAAGATCGCGAAGCCGCGAGCAGGAAATTGCGGCGGGCGCGGAGCATTTATATATCGTGCGCGCATGCATCGTTCGAGTTATCGATAGAGCGCGCGAGCTGGATGCGCGTCTATCAATATGCGAGCGGCTAATTAGATTTCGCCTTGCGCGAATAGACACGTTAACGCGCTTATTGCAAGCGTTCGTGCCGAGGGCGCGAGCGCGAACACAGTAATAACTCACAATGTCGCTCCGAATTAGGTGTACGACGGCGCACCGCGGCCGAAATATCCGCCGTCTCCATTATGTAACGCACAAACAAAGCGAACGATTTATTTCTGTGCCCGCGCGATATCGAAAATCTTGAGTGTATTCACGTAAATCAGCTCGTTTGGCGACCGATAGAATCCATCTTCCCGAATAGAAGAGAAACAGAATAATCGAATATCGTCGCTTTACGTCAGCGCGTAAAGTCGCCTCCTATAAGCCCCGTCTACAATGGGAGTAAAGTATGACTGTAAGAAGTAAGAGTAATAAATTGACCAATCACAGTCGAATGTGAGAAGAATAATCGACTGTGATTGGTCAATTTCTTACTATCACTTCTTACAATTACACTTTACTTCCATTTGTAGACGGCCCTATACAGTCTATCTGACGCAAGACGTACAGAAGCATGTCAACCTGAACATAAGGACCACCGGCATTCTGCAAACAACCACATGAAAAGTCGAGGTATTAAAAAAAGCAGACTGACGAACCAAAGCGCGCAACGTTGAGAAATAAGCTCTGTAAAACTTGATCTTGATGTGTTCTTTATTTCCTGTTTTTTACTCTTTCTGATTCAAATCTTAAACCTTAAAGGCTAATCTACAATGTGTTCTTTGCTTCATGACTCTTTTTCTCTTTTTCTGACTCAAACCTTAAGCTTCAAGCTTGATCTATAATGTGTCATTTGCTTCCTGTTACTTTTTCTTTACCTCTTTCTGACTCTTCAAGCCTTAAATCTTAAATTAAAAAAAGACAGAAAACAAGGAACAGGAAGCAAAGAACACAGGCTTAAGCTTAATCTATAATATGCTCTTTGCTTCCTGCTTTTTTCTTTTTATCTCCTTCTGACTCAAACCTTAAGCTTTAAACCAAAAAAAGATAAAAGACAAGAAACAGAACGCAAAGAACGTATTGTAGATCAGGCTTAAGCCAAAAAAAGACAGAGTACAAGAAACAGGAAGCAAAGAACACATTGTAGATCAAGTTTTACAGACCTCGATCAGTTCTTGCGGGTATAGAGCCCACAACTTCGCACGCTCTGTCATTCGTCAGTCCTTTTTCATTAATATTTGGAAACTTTACGTGATTGTTTGCAAAATGCCAAGGTCTTCGTGCTCAAGTTGACGTGCTCTACCTTCACACGTCGCCCTGCATGTTCTACGTCAGACACCTTGTATAATAGCCTGGCCCTGGTAATATCTTATTCTTAGCACCGTTGCGTTATATAGAGCGGTTTGTGTATGCTGCCCGATGCTAAGGGAAAATCGGAATTTACATTGAATCGATATTCGTGCTGTTAATCGATCCTCTTGACGGAGGTACCGGTTCCCTTTTATAATCACAGAGTCGAGGCCGTCCAAAGTTCGGCGAAGAATATCTAATTACTCGCTGCTATCATCGCGTTCTCTAGGTTTCTCCGTGCAAACTCGACCTTCGTCGCTCGATGATCGCCCAGGACGACAAAAATGGGAGACAAAAAGACACGTTTGGCCGCGCAAGAAAAAAGTGCACGCATAGAAAAATATTGTATCGAAGTAAATATTTGTTGTTTTAAGCATTTTGTAAGTTTATATCTCCGTAAATCCATCATAAGCATTAAATTTGGTCGAAATACATTCTGTATACTAGTGAGTTTAGTATTTCCATTAAGAATATTAAATTAAAACAAAAATTCGACGTGCTTATCAAATAGAAAACTAACTTTTTCTTCGATAGAATTTTATAATATTCTATAAAAAGAGAATAAATTCTTCTTTCGAGCACATGATGGATTAGTATAATACTGACGTGGTCGGTATTTCTTAGACATTTAACAAGGACCTCTCATTGCCCTTTTCTCAAACTTCCTGCGAGAATTCGATAAAAGAAAAATGACACCACCTGATACAAGAGACTTTTGCAATCACCTAATATAAGAGAGTGCTCATTGGAAATGTACGAAGGCATGGTTTCATATCCAAAATCAAAAAGAAGAACAGGAAGAAGGGGGCGAAGAAGAGATGCAAATTCGGTCTGCGCCGTTCACGTGTTTGCAACTCGAGCCAGCGCGCGTTCGGGCCGGCTCTCTCGCGTTCTTCAAGTTCGGGCGGCTCGGCGGATATCATCGGTATCGATGTGTTCGTCTTACCTTGCGTGCTGCCGTTGGGCTGCCCGCCCTGCGGTATCCCGGGGTAGAGCGGTGAGGGATGGGGCGACGGTTGATTGCTGGGCGGTCCTGCAGAATGCGGGTTGGCAGTCGTCGGGGTCGGCGTGGCCGACGGTACTTGCTGGGATTGCTGGGATTGCTGCACGTTACCGCCGGACGTAGGGGTTGCTGCGGGGGTGCCTTCACCCCCGGTGCCACCTACGCCCCCGGAGGGTTGCTGCTGATTTTGCGACTGTTGCTGCTGCTGCTGGGACTGTTGCTGCTGTTGCTGCTGCTGTTGTTGCGGCGTTTGCTGCGGCGTCGGCGGTTTTTGCGCGTCCGCCGGCTCGCTCATCGTTTCTGCAACGAGAAAGGGACCGCCGCGATCTTGAATATTAATCCGCCAGGGTCGGTCAGCAACGCTCTTCTCTTGGCAAGGCGTGCTTTTTAGGCAGCGACATCGGCAGCGACCAGACGCGCTCCCGCAAGCGATCGATTCGAATGTAGAACCGCGCTGCGCGTTCGTGTCGAAGGCTGTTTCGCTGCTTCTAGCGAGCGCGCGAGAGATATCGTCTCGCAGAATGTCATTTATAACGCTCATTGTCGCGAAACTTTCAGTGCTACTCGGGTAATCGGACTGTTCGGATTCTCGCGGAACGTTACTCCTCGAGTTTGTTGCGGAACTTCACCCGGAGTCCGGGGATGTTTAACCTTCTTTTTTCAAGGTGTTCACTCTCCGATGTCTAATACCGATCGCGATATTTCTTCTCACAAGCTATTACTGACCCTTTCATGTACTGTTGATGATGAATCAACGGAGCCTCACTTTATTAGGTTGGTGCAGAAAGTTCCTTGTGTTTGTTAAATAACATAGAAAACGAAATTATACAATTTCGAAGGAGTAACCGTTTTGTTTCATGAATAAAATAAACAACACCAATCTTTTGGACATCCATACAACGAAGACTTCATTTTTTTTTCTTTTAATACCCAAACTTTTTATACAGAAAATGTCATTTTATTGTTTGAGAGAAACAATTATTCAGTTTACTTTCCTTTTTTAAATAATTTTCTTTAAGTATCTTCGACGAAGATAAATATTTTTTGTATAATTTGTTGAGCTTTATCTCTCTTCTTTTCAGTAATAGTTATCTTGAACAAAGAAAAGTCTCTTGATAACAGTCTTAAAATATATTCATCTCGAATTTTTTTAGAAAAGTTCTTTATCATGTGTTCAAAAAAATTTATTCTCTTTCCAAGAATATTATAAAACTTCACCGAGCTTTACTTCTCTTCTTTCAAATAATGGTTATCTTCGACAACAAATATTTTCTTCATAACAGTCTTAAAGTATACTCACCACACATTTTAGTAAGTCTCATTACCACGTGCTCAAAAGAAGCAAGAATATTATAAAACTTTATCGAGGAAAAAGTTGGTTCGACTTTACGTAAAGTAAGTAAACCGCGCAAATTCTTATTTTATTTCAATATTCTTGCTTGCAACGCTAAACTCGCTTGAATTCAGAATGCATTTTGAATAAATTTGATGGTCTGTGATGAATTTCTATGTAATGAAATATGAAATACTTAAAACAAGTAACATTTACTACAATGCTGCATGTATGATTTTGCGTGTATTTAAGAGAAAATCGACCAATCATGTGCACCAATCCAATAAATTAAGACACTGTTGGTTCGCAATCAATAAAATACATAAAGATCTAATATTCGTCAATTTATTACACTGAGAGAAATTGTCCGGTAAAAAATTAACAAACGGATATTCCTATCAAAATACCTATGATTTTTTATATCCGATTAAATTTTATGGAATACTTCCTCATCATGATGGCATTTCATCAGATAAACCGCTCAAAAAATTATCAACCGATATTTCTCATCGGATGTTTCCTGATCGGATACAAAAATTCATCGGTGATTTGATCGGAAATATCCGTTCATTAATTTCTTATCAAATAATTTCTCTCAGTGTGATATTTCCTCTCCTTCCACTCGCTCCCTCTGGTATCCGCTACACGCTTACATGCGCGCGCTTTTTCGTCGGGGCCTCCATCGATTTGCGGTTAATTTAAATAACGTATCTCGGCGCGGTAATCGGCGCAGAATGACGTACGTTGATAAATAGCCCTACGGCATCGCCGTCGAGCCACCGACGAGTTTCGCAACTTTCGACGAATAATCCGCGGGACTGCGAGCGAAAATACTTTAATTACGGAAGGCGCGGGGTGAACGTCGCGCGGCCCGAGACTCCCTTCTCGAAAAGTTCGGATTGTTCGGGCGAGTTGATATGACTGATGGCGAAACTCGCGGGATAGTTACGGGGGATCGATAGCGGCACGGGATTTCCTCCTCGGCCGGGCCGTAGACCGGTCCCGCCGCCATTGTTACGCGCTAAGTACCGAGAGAAGATATACTAATCACCCTCCGCGTATCTCGACAAGTTTCGTTAATCCTTGAGCGGCACGATAAATCGAAGGGAAAGCGGCTCGACGTTAATCGGAGGAATTGCATTTGTCTGATTAGCGTCGTCGTAGTCTCTCAATTCCTTGGAGTAAAATTTTATTTATTCGTTTATTTCAGAAATTTCACTCTCAGAAAGCGAAGTGACCAGTCACTCGAATTCCAGTAAGCTTCCACTCATGAAGAATAGACTTTCCACTCTGAATCGTCAAATGAACACTTGCACTCGAGGTTGAAGAGTGAATCTAATGTATGCTCGTTTACCAGACGGTTTCAGCACATTTTTTCTGATAAAATTCGAAGTCCATTAAATTCACGAAATCACGATTGCGAGTCATTATTCACGAGTCTGCGTAGTAATTTGTTATGACGAGAGTCAAAGTGATAATATATGATAAACATCGCGATTTCAACGGAAGATTCAAGATAAATGCAAGTTTCATCTATCAGACAAAAATTATAATAAAGGGACAGTATTTACACCCCGTATATTTTGAATAATTTTTCAAAGCTATTTTTCACACTGAAATGTCAAGTAAATATTTAAATTTGAAACTAAAGAATAGATTTTAAGAATTCCAAAAATTTAACAAAGTCTAAACAATAAAAACCGCTTAGTTTCTGCTTTATAAGCAGATTTTTCCGAAAATTTGTCCACTGTGAGATTGCCAATGTCGTTTCAAGCGGGCCTGTTTTGAGTGAGATGTCATTCCAAGAAATTTACAGAGACAAGTTGAAACTCTTGCTATTGATCACGGATATTTTTAGAATATTTGCGTTCACGTAACGAAAGTCAATTGAGAAAGCAACAGACATTATCTCTTTCGAATTTTTCGCAACCTCTACGCGGTTCAACAAATGTACGAGTTTAAAAAAAAAACTATTCTAAAAAGGCTCTGAGATTAAAAATCAACAAGGAAATAGAGTCTATAAGAGCTAAGCACTAGGTGTTAATGTGCAAACTATTTTATTTAGAATTAATAAAATTATAGTAAACGTTTCGCAGTCATTTATTTGAACCTTCTTCAGTACAAAAATTAATGTTCGCAAGACGTGCACGAACATTTTACAAATGAAAGACTGACGGTTGGAAATGGCAAAAAATTAATAAATTTTGTAAGCGAGAATCATGATTCTGCGCATAATTTTTTGCCGCTTCCACTTGTCAATGCTTGCTTGTGTTGCAAAATAAAACAGAAGTCGCGGTTTATTTACTTTACGAATCAACTTTTTCTTCGATAAAGTTTTCATATGTAAAATGCTTGTCTTAGCAAGCTTTACTTTCTGCGGGACGCTGAAGAAAGTCCAAATAGAGGATCGAAACGTTTACCACAATTTTGCTAATTCTAAATAAAACAATTTGCACATCGATATCTAGTGCTTGGCTCTTATAAGCCTTATTTCTCATTAAAAAAAATAAAACCTTGCCAATATTGTCGCGTCTCGAACCAGCCAGCTAACACCGCGTTCGAACGGAGCGCGAAACCGCTCCGATGCTTCTCCTACAATTCGTCGGTAAGAGGGATCGCTGTCATATCGCGACGCGATAACGTCAATATAAACGACGCAGTGGTCGCTGTTATCTATGCCGCTATCTATCCGCGCGCGAACGTAGGAGAAGGAGCCCGTACACCACGCGAATGATAAGAGAGACCAGGCGGGCTCCGGGAAGCGAGAGCTCAGCACACGACGACTCCGTCTCGCAATTTAATCGCGTGACTTCGGCGCGTCGAAAGTGGCGGCGACTGGTCGCGCGACTGCGGAAATTGGAACTCGCGTCTGCCGAGGTAACGAGCGCGAAACGCAATTACGACCTTCGACATCATCGGGCCGGCAAAGTAGCCGGCGCGCCCCCGTCGTCGGCACTCCACTTCTCTCGTTTCCTGTGGCAGCTCTCGCCGAGGGAGCGGACACGCGCGCGAACTCGGACTCGGAAATTTCTGTCTGCCGAGGAAGTCGCGGGATTCACATCGACGCCGGAAAACACCGCGCCCCGCTCGGGAAGTCGCCGGACTAGAGATGTATCGAGCTTGCGGGGCGGAATTTCGTGCTTTCGGGGGCGGCGAGTCGCCGCAGGAAATCTCGCGTCTACGTCGCGCGGAAACGACAAGTAGAATGTCGCGAATCGAGGAAGAACGCGTAAAAATAAGTATGAGCGATATCAGGTGATTAAAGACCGCTACTTTTTCTCGAGGAGTCTTGCAACGCATGTCTATCGAATAGGAAAATGCATCTTCTGCGGAAAAAAAGATTTAGTTGAATTAACCAAATATTTGGTCGAATATGAACGATTCAGAAATTCCGATTGAAGTAACCCGAATTCTATTTAAGTTAACAAGATTTTTGGTTGACTTAAATAGAATTCGGGTTCAATCGAAATTTCTGGATCGTTCATATTTAACCAGATATTTGGTTAATTCAACTAAACCTTTCTTTCCGTGTGAGAATTATTCCGTGCCGTCTTACTTTTAATTTATATTTATATTCTTTCTACTTTTTTTTATTTATTTCTTTTTCTGAAGCGGACTTGGTCGAAACATAAGATTAAATTTTTTTATTTCTGCTTTTTGGTTTTATTGCACTATTATAGCTCGACGTATAGTGCTCTTATATACTCTTATTTTTTATCAATTTTTATTTTATCAGAGGGTTTTTGTTAATTTGGTTTCTCTCTCCCCCTTTCTCCCTCTTTCTTTCTCTCTTTTTCCTACTAAGTGCAAAAACTTATTTGCTAGGTTGCGTCGAAACTCATCGAGAAAAGGTATTGCAACTCTTAATTATCTGACTATACAATAACATAACGGAAAAGAATTAACAAGAGCAAAGCGCTGTTTTGCATGTGTCTGTGCGCGCATACACACGCACAATATCAATATATTATTTAAAGAAACATTCTTTTTATATATTATTTTGATGTGACCCTAATCTGCCACACTGGCATCATTTTCTACCTTGATTTTAAAATTTTGGATTACCCGCAAACTCGAATAAAGCACTTTTGGTTCACGCGCTCAAAAAAGTTGGTGCGAATATTTTTAGGCTATTTCAATTGCCTGTCATATAACAAAAAAGGCAAAGTTTCTATAGGATCGTTTTGGATCTCAGTGTGCCAGATTCAGAGAGATATATCAAAGCGTAAAATAGAAATTTAAAATAAAAAATGATGTTTCGTTATATTTCGGGATTCTTTACATCAAATATAATATATAAAAAATTTGTACGCAAGTAGTTTATTTATTTTTTACTATATTATACTTGGTCGTAATTTCCGTATTGTAAAACTTTAATTACGCACAAAAAAAGTCAGTTTCTCTTTTTGTAATAATTTTAACAAAATTCATATTATAATGCTACAAAACCTTCAAACTGTTAAAAATTTTATTTGTTTTTTGATTGAAAAAATTATATCTTTTCGTATCCTTAAATAATTGTACTTTTTGATAAAATGAAATGTATTTTTTTCCTGAAAGGTTCAAAGGTATTGACAACAAAAACCCTAGAGTGTTAATTTCTTAAATTCATTTCCAGAAGTTACGAATTTTTATGTAAACACGTTTTCATCGTGTCCTTCTTGCATTTGCAATAAAATTAACTACTCGTGTGGATATTTGCGATGATTTTTGTATTATTTGATTCAATTCTACAAACTTCCAAGTACATTTATTATTTTTTATAGATTCTTATTAGCACTTTTAAAGAATGTAAATAATCAAGAACGAAAACAAGTCTAGACGAAGATATTCGGAATATGAATGTATGTATGTACGCCATGTGTTAATATTACATGCAAAATTATACCAGCGCCTTGGCTTTTATTAGCCCTTTTTTAGTTACATCATTGTTCTGATTTGAGCTGTTTATTTCATTATGACAACACACAGGTAGTAAGAAGCGGACATGCACACTCACCATTTTCGGGAAACGACGTCGACCGTATTACAGGCAGCAATATTCCCTTCTGCACCAACTCGTCTCTGCTGGCACGTACCGAGATTTTTCTCTCGAGCGCTGTTGACACACGAGCAACGACAACGCGCACGTCACTACATTGTTCGTTCTGTCATATGTAACACAATCGTCAGCAAAGCTCAGAAGTTAGCGTCCTTTTTGGGTCCTCTCTAAACCTAACCTCTTGTTACCTCTTGTTACGTTCGCGATGTCAGTCAGCTACGTGCTGATCACTTTCTGTTTCTTGTTCTCTGTCTTTTCTGGCTTAAAGCCTGATCTACAATATGTTCTTTGCTTCCTGTTTCTTTTTTTGTCTTTCTTTGGTTTAAGGTTTAAGAAAGAAATAAAGAAAAAATAACAGGAAGCAAATAACACATTATAGATCAAACTTTAAGCTTGAAGAAACAGGAAGCAAAGAACACATTATAGATCAGGTTTTAGGCAAAAAGAGATAAAGAGAAAGAAACAGGAAGCAAAGAACACATCAAGCTTAAGAGATGGGAGAGATTCCCGGTATCTGAAATTCCATCTGACTACAGGAAGCTCATCGCGAAAAGCAGCGAATTCCGAGCTTTGCTTACGATGTTCCTCTCTTTTTATACAAGAATGAAAACGAGGTTAAATCGAGATAAGCTGTAACGCAGAAACGCGCCAAAAGAGCACGTCACACACACGTTATCCGTTCATAAATAACTTCATCTGACACGCGACCGCTACGTTTACCTGCTTTTACATAGAAGTGCACGCGAAATGTTAACGATCTCTATCACTTTAAGATGCAAAGAGAGATTGTGGCAACACAGCGACGTCGATCACGAGAGAACGACGCGGCGCGGAAGATCAATCACGTCCGTACTGCAAAATCGCGCGATACTTACACAGTGAAGCGGCCTCGAATTTATCCGATTTCTTTTTCCGCTTCCATTTCCAAGGCTTGAAGAGTCTACCGAGGGCCGAGAACTTGCTTTTTCTCTCCAAGGGCGGCGTTCTCGCGCCCGAGCCCAGACTGTTCGTCCGCAAGGCAGCGCCATTTTGCTTTTTCGCTGCAACAACAAGAGACAACTTCACGTTCATATGTATCCGCCACACGATGTACGCGCGCGTTTTCCCGCGCAATATTTGAGGTGGGATTGCGCGATCGCACCCCACGTTGGTTACGAGTTGCCGCGTAGAAAATTTCTCGGGATCTAATTGGGATCGATTCCCTAAAATAATTATGAATTTTGGATAGAAATGTAATGCTTCAAACATGAGATTTTAAATGGGGAAACCCGTAGTCTTCCTAATACTTTTCCTGCTCTTCATTTTACGTTAGAATTAAGTATAGACATATTGACTTTCCAAATAATTGCATTACTGAATAAATGCTCAAATTGTTTTTAAAAAAGTTCATTTTTTGATATCTTATTCTATTGAATATAATTGTGCGTTTAAAAACGGAATTAGTTGTTTGATGCTATAAAAGTGTATCGTCCTTACCGACTGAAAAAAAAACGCGAGTTCTCACGGTATTTCTGTTTCGATTTTAGACTGAAAAGTCATATTTGAAACAAGAATTGAATTCTCTGAATTGATGAGGTAACACATCAATTTTGAGATTTTAAGCATTCTAATCAGAATCTACGCTGCATCTGAGAAAATCTTAGGAAGTTTCTACGCGGATTTCTTACTCGCGAATGATACACAAGATCGATTGAAACATATCGACGACTATGCGACTAAAAGTGCGTGTTATCAGCCTTAGATACGTTATCCAGCTTCTCCGCTTTTGCAGCAAAACGAGGGTGCGTAGATTCCTATATTATCCGCGCTTACCGACCAGGGTTGCAGCATTCCAACCCTTTTATCCACGTCCGTAAGGGTGGAAACGAGTGAACGACCGTCGATCGAGCGCACGCTTTACCTCGATAAAATTTTTTTCACTTTCATTTCGATAAAAATAACTTCTGTACGAAAAAATAATTTATATTTTTATACATATAGAAAAATGAATGCTGCAAATAAATGTTATTTGTTTCAAGCATTTCATAAGTTCATAGTTCATGATAAGCATCGAATTTCTTCAAAATACATTCTGAATCCTGGTAAGTTTAGCATTTCAACCAAGAATATAAGATTAAAACAAAAATTCAGTTTACTTGCTACATAAAGCTAAATACTCTACTTTCTCTTCGACAATTTACAATAATTTTGTAAAGAGAATAAATCTTTCTCTTTTGAGTATATAATAATGAGTTTTTCTAAAATTCGCCATTTAATATATTTTAAGACTATTTAGCAGAAAAATATTCTTTGTTGAAAATAACTATAATATTAATTAAAACAAGGAAAATAATCTGAATAATCTGTTTTTTTCTGGGCAGAATGATATTTTTCTGTGTGTATGTATCGCGTATAAAGAAAATATTTGAATCTTCCATACTCACTATGTTTCTATCGCAAAACGAGAATCGACGCGAGAGGACTGATATTTCCCTGTGTTTCTTTAAACGAAACAAAAAGAAAACACTCGCGGATTGCAATGTATAACTGCATTATTGTATCGCGTTGCATTGTTATTATACAATTACGCCGCTCTGGCCGCGGAAACAAAACGGGAAAGCGTATGAAAAATTCTCGGCGCGGACACGTTTTCCCGCTCGCGCCGAGCGGCACAAAAAGCTCCGCGCAATTTCTATGTAAATTTTTCATGTGCGAGCAGAATGCTGTCTCGCATTCTTTTCATAACCCCCGTATTTACCGTATGGTAAGCCGAGCACACTGGTTTGTCGCGCGCACATTATCCCAATGACAGTTTGCACGCGGCGCGACAATTAATGTGCTAAAAGCGCGAAATGAGCCGCGTCTACGAAATAAGTGTCCCCGGTCGAATGTGAACATTAAATGACCTAATTACTTCATAAACAATGTATGCTCACGCAAGCCAACGGTTTAACGTTCCTCGTACTTTCCTTCAAATATTAACCTTCCAGCAGAGTAATTTTCTATAACAAATACAGTAGAAGATTCTTCTCTCAGCAGGTTTACACATTGGTGTGTTTCCATCAAGAATAAAAGATATATGAATATAAAAGAAAAATTATAACCTGAATTATATCAATTTGTAAGCAATATCATCATTCAGAAAGAGCCAAAGAGTTCAACCCGCATAAATCGCGGGTTAAACAGTTGGAAGATTAACGACGAGGGGATTACACAACTAATATTCATATTATTAACCCGCATAGAAAATGCTTTGGGATCTAATTGGAATCTAGCTCGATTTCCCACAATAATCATAACTTTTAGATGCGAAATCTATGCAGATTCTGGTCAGAAGCGCAATGTCTGCGAATCTAAATGAGAAACCCAGACAGATCCCATCCCCAATGTTTCTCTAACGTTTTCTCTGATTTTTTTCTGGTTCACATTTTAAATTAAAATTGAATAAAATATATGGAACTTCAACACACTTTGAGTATTTACTCGTTACAAGTATATATATACACACATACTCGTAAAGAGTAAATACTCAAAATATTTGCGAAAAAAATTCATCATAAAGGAATTATAATTGAAAGCGTTCGAGCTAAGAAAATTAAAGATATATATAAATATCCGACAAATTTGTTTGACTTACAAATGAATAAAATCGTCAAAATATCCTCAGATTACAAATTCTTATTACATAGAAAGCTAAAATGCCTTCCCTTACATAGAAAGCTAAAATTATTTCACCTTTTAACATGGAATAATATAAGCTAGAGAAAATTTGTATTGTCTTTATTGTATTAACGAAACTGATGTAAAAAACACTTAAAAAAACTCGAGTTTCTTTAACATTTCTGTTCTGATTCCAGGTAGAGAAGCTATATTCAGGACAAGAATGAGATTGGCAATTAGTATCGTAGTAGAACAATCTATTTTGGGATAAGGTTGAGCGTTCTGATTGGAATCTAACCTGCATATGAGAAAATATCACGAATTTTTATGCGGAAATTTCCGCATAGACGAAATCCGAGTACCAGAGATACTAATGACAATGGGCGAAGGCTCGAATTTACCGAAAACTTGGCGGACTTTCGCGTTTCGAGTGCGTCCGTTCGTATTGCGAACGCGGCGAAGCCGAATAATGCCGAGCCTTATCGACGCATCCGCTAACACGCTGCCGACTTCCCACCCTGATTCGCGCAAAAATAAACAGCTATTGTGAAAGAAAATTCTTTTTGCCTCGCTTTTAGCCCGCTCCTCTCTTCCCCCTGTTCCTCCTCTCTGTCTCTCGCGCGCGACTGATTTCGTTGTCAGACAACGGCGCAACGCGCGCGCGCGCACGTGTGTGTGTGTGTGGTGTACGAGTATGTGTGTGTGTGTCACCATAAAATCAATACTCGACAACGTTACCGCGTAAGATAATTTGGCGGATTTTCCAACGTGCTGTTTTCCCCGAAACGTTAGTCAATCACGCTGAAAGCGACACGCCGTAACAAATTCTACTGGCGGGGAAAAACGATTAAAAAACAAAACAGGCAGGAGAGAGAGAGAGAGAGAGAGAGAGAGAGAGAGAGAGAGA